CAGTCATTTTTTCCTCAGCCTGGAGACAATATTAAAGGCTTTACTGAAGCCCAGGTAGACAATATCCACAGTCTTTCCCTCACCCACTAGGTGGGCCACATGGTCATAAATAGATCAGGTTGTTTAAGCAGGATCTGCCTTTCCTAAATCCATGATGGCTGAGCCTGATGCCCTCATTGTCTTGTATATGCCATGTGATCATACTTAAGATAATCTATTCCACAACCAGATCTGCAGGACACACTATTCAACTCTCTTTGGCATAGGCGATAACAGTTACCATAGTTCATAATTCATCTTTTCTGGATAGAGGCCTTGTGACTTAGGAAGGAAAATGCCAAGCACAGCATGAGAGTGTGACCTGGTCAGAGTTCTTCTGGCTCTGTCAGTTTTGTGTATCTCACCAAGAGAAGTCACTGTTCTGTGTGCCTCTGGATTTTTAAATTGAGAATGAGAACAGCTTTCTCTGCACTCTGCCTTAAAATGGGTGAAAAAAAGCTTAAATCAACACTACTTGTTCACAAGTAACTAAAACTGTGATTCACATGAGTGCACTTTTTCAAGAGGGCAGTTTTCTTGCCTTAATTGCATTAGGATGATATCCATGAATTTCCAAGCCAATGTAGGGGACTACTAATGTGCAGAATATAGTTTACTTGACTATTTTGAGGTAGAATCTTCCTGAGTAGGCTCAGCTTCAGGATGTGAAGTTCACACCAGTGCACATGACAAAAAAGATTTGTGTGACTGCTGGGGAATGTGACCTATAAAATTCATCATCCTCCTTTCATTCCATCAACAAAATCATTACTGTAAAGCCCATGATATGGGCCCAAATCCTTCACACTTAATTTTAAGAATTTGAGATGTCTGTAACACTGCCTCTGAGTCAGGAGAGGCAGGAGCTTCCAAAATCGATTTCAGCTTGCTTAAGATACAAATGAATAGGCTTCCTCTCCTCCTCTTGGTCAGCTGAAGTAAGGCACAAAGCCTTGGCATGTTCGATATTCCTTTTATGAATATATAATGCAGAAAAACATATATTTGTCTTTAGACACAATGACTGTATTAGATGGCTACAAGAAACGTTTACTAATACAATGGTAATATGGTTCTAAATTGCTCTAACACTATAATATTTTTATTTACATGCAAGTATATTTTTCTAAATTATGAGCATGAATCATACAGGAAGTTATGCAAAATAGAATAAATTATGTAAATAGCATTTTTAAAAGTTTTTAATTAAGTGCTATGCTCTGTAGTACACAGCATACACACTGAATACTTGATGGCAGTAAAATACTTTATGTTTAGAATATATTCCAACAATGTCAATTTGTTGATCCTTTCTGACCATCAGAAAAATTACTTGCTGGTCAGTACCTCATTACCTCTGTTTTGTTTTAAAAATCCAGTCACATGGGATCAACAAAAAAAATCTCATGGTTAGGACTTGACATTATTTTGACAACTGGAGCACATCATATGAGCATAGTCATGTTGTTCTGACATTCAGAAATATAAAAACTCAAAACCACCAGAGAAACCACATGAAAGACATTTCACTACCCCAAACTTCACATGTTAGAGGACTTTGAAGATCCCATCATAAACTGATTGGTAATTTCTCCTTGTCTGTGATGAAAAAGTAGTACTGTCAGGCTATTTGGTAAAAGGTGGAAGTTTCAAATAAGATCCCTGTGTTATTCCAGGTTTGCCTATTTCAGCAGATGGCAGCCATCATTCAAACTGAAGTCAAAATTAATATGCACAATCTCTTGTAAAAAAAAAAAAAGGAGGAAGGGAAGTAATATTTAATTTCTATATTTCTATCGTATGTTTCTACAGTATATTGGTAAATTAATATTATTTGCATATACATAATAGAACAACTAATTTCTTTATTTGTTCCTTGAGGCTAAAAATACCCTAACAAATGTTCTTCCAAAAAATCAAACTAAACTGAATTCATTAGGCTAATTTTACTTTACTATGCATTGCTTGTTAAGAGGAATAGAACTCTACCTTTATACAAAACTAAGAATTTCTGGTTGCATTTCATAGAGAAGCCAACATTGGTCAGCATAGGCTAGTGCTGAAAGAGGGAGAAAGCTTACAGCAATGGGTGGGGTAATGGTTGCTCCACACAGCCAAAATTCTTGATTTCAAAGACCCCTCACTATGTAAAAGAAACGCAAGAGGCTATGTTACTCCCAGAATTACAGGATTATTACTCTGATCAGAATTTATTTAATGCATCATGCTCTAAATATCTGATCAGATGTGACATGTCATCTGTAAAAGACTTATCTACACTTTTAGATTCCAGAAGGAAAGTATATTTCAAGTGCTGTCTGAAAGGCAATTTTTTTTAAATCCTTCCAAGTGTCAAATGCTTGCAAACAGTCACAGAATGCTATGTCAAGGTCTGGGGTTTCAATTTGCTCAGGTATTTAAGAGAGTTATATGTCAGCAAAAATTTAAATGGAAGTAAAATACTCATCAGGCAGATGGGCAGTGTGTTTCATCAAGCCAGATGCTAAATGGTCACTTTAACACAGACAACTTTCCTCTCTTACTGAGAAAAAGGTACTAAGAAGGATTTCTGCATGAAATAAAACAATGACCTGGCCATTAAAGAGTAAGAGGTCACTGCAGAGAAAAAGAAAAATGGTAATAAAAACTCACTGAAAACTCTTTGCTTCTTACTACCATCTCCATCGTCACCATCTACTCACTTACCATCCTGTATTGTGTCCTCCCCTCTCCCTCTCATCCCTGAGAGCATTTTGATAAAGAACCTGAGATCTCATACTTTCACTCTGCAGTTGTTTATTTAAGAGATATAAATATACTGAAGAGAATTCCTTAAAGTCAGAAGCACCAGTATACCTCAAGCATATCATTACCTCAGCAAGATTTACTTTTTTCTTGTGCTCTTTATTGAAAATGGGCAAAAGTTGTAACTATAGACTCAAATTTTACATGCTTTGTAAAGTGTGGCTGTGAAATTACACCCTTCTGTATATACATATGAATGTACAGAGAGTTTTTTCTGAAATGTAAGCTAAACAATTCCAAATGGAAGAACAGATGGAGAGAAAGGAAAATTATTAGGATTCTGAAAAACTGTTGTATTCCTTTCCAATCATTGTCTCAATCTGAAGAGGATTACAGAGTATAATGCAAAATGAGATCCCCTCTAACCCCAACTCAGTTGTGTGAAGAAAATCTGATGGCCAATGGCTGCAAAAGAACCAGTATTTTCTTACAAAAACTGTGAAGCATTCATTATATTTCAATTCTATGCTTGTATGACAAAATAAATTTTAAAGCTAACTGAACCATTAACAAACAAAATCAATTTATTTTTAATTCTTGTATTTTATATCCTCATTAAACCTATGTAGAGGCTTCTATCTATACAAAAGCATGTTGCGTATTTTGAATTTGGTGAGCAGTGGCTGTTTTTGGAGTGAAAAAGGGAATGTGGAAACTCCAAAAAATGTTTTTTTAAATGCTCTAGGAGTGTCCAGTTCCTGACAGCATTGTTCCAGTATGAAGAAGAGTCTTCTGATAAGCAGTATTTACCAGGAAAGCATTTTTCACAAGGAAAGCATGATAGAGCAAAGAGAACACTTTCATATGGGTACTGCACCAGAAGCTCAGATGGGTCTGATAATTATCTGTCTGCATCACAACAGTCTTATTGTAAGCCTGCTTTCAGGGACAGTTACAGCTCATGCCACTCATCACTCTCACAGACTTCCCCAGGCACCCTTAAATATTTGCTATTATTGACAAAGGCTAAGCTGCCTGAAGCATCCCGTGGTTACAGGCTAGTTTTACCGATTTCTGAAAGGTAAAGTCAAAAGTCATAATTACTCTGTATTTGCATGTGTTCATATTTTGAGTATGCATTCATGGAATGAAAAAAGCAGAGAAATGTAAGGATCAACTTCCAGATGGTTCCAGTGAGAACAACACAGGGTAGAAACACCCTGAATCTACGAAAGCTGAATTTATGGAATTTAGGTGGGGTACAAACCAAGAATACTACAACATGGCTGCTAAGGTCTCACCAGTTGAGTTCCCCATGCCTAATTTTTTTCTGAGCTCTTACCATCTGTGTTTACTCCATCATCCTGTTGGTATGGGTGAGGCAATGAGGGAAAAAATATTAATTTGCTCACTACAGTAAGAATGGCAGACATGACGGAAATAAGTAGAAACAGCTCATTTGTCAGCTTTCTCAATGGGTTCCACAGTTACTATTTATATCACATTGTACCCACCAAAAACTCACAAGCTTCTACTGTTTGGAGTCCAAAGGGATGTCTCACATTGAAGTAAATCAGAAGAATTGAAATATTGGTGCTGTCATGTGAAGAAGGTGATGTGAATCTGATCTCTATATGCCCATAAATGCACTATCTGGGTTAGCAGCCAAATATCCCTGAGCATCTTCAACTTGCTAAAGCAAGAAAACAGACACCTGACAAACATGTTTTATTCCATGTACTTGGTATTATTTAGAGAAGTGTATCCTTGTCTGCGGCTTTCAGGGGTCACTTGCGGCTGTCCCCCGTCCCTCCCCGGCCCCCCGGGACCCCTCCGACTAGCTGTCCCCTCAGGGGACCGGGGTTTGCCACGGTCCCGCTGCACTGGGCTTACCAGGCAGCGGCTGGGTTAGCACGGTTCGAGCGGCGGTGCGCCTCGGTCACCGCAAGGAGTCGAGATAAAGAGACGAAGAGAGGTCAGTTGTATGCAGTCCAGAAAGATTGTATTGCCTGAACGGTTGCAGGGACAAAAGACCCTGGGCTACTGCCCAGATACAGTTTTATACAGCAAAATTAAGAGATAAGGTCTAAACAATAGAGACAGTGTTCAGCATGGGCTCATCAGAACCACCCCATGGGTCAGGTCCAATGGGAACTGTTCAGGGGTGGGGAGAAGGGGGTTTACATAAAGATGCTGAAGCGAAACTTTCCCGAAACAATGGGGCATACATAAATGTATCTTTTCCTCATACCTAAATGTATCTTTTCCTCAGTTTCCAATTCCCAAGGCCTTTCTAAATCCCTTCCTCCACACTACCACGCCAGCGCGATAGCAACATCTCCCTCTTCTTTACTTAATAAGATGAACAGTGCCTTGGGAGAAGGTAAAACTGCGGCTCTCAAACTGCGGTGTCTTTCTGCTTGCCGTCTTCCCACCAATCGCCCTCCGTGGCGGCAGCAGCGTTGAGAACAGGTGCGGAAGCCTTAGGCTTCGAGGTGATGACCTTGGAGATTATTCGCTTAAGAATCCCAAATGCTAACAGAACTAAAAACAGTGCAACTAGAAAGTAAAAGATGTCTTTTAAAAGAGACACTGCCCACCCAGAAAGGTCCCAGTCTTTGAATAGATCCTTAAACCAATCCTCATTTTCTTGCTTCACACTCCCAATGAGGCTTCTCATTTCCTGAATGGACGAGTGGACACTCTGGCCTTTAGATGACAGATCAAAACAACACAAACCATCAAACTCTTTACATCCATGACCATGTGCCAACAGCAGGAAATCAATAGCTGCCCGATTTTGGAGGGTAGCCTTTCTGGTTATTTCCTCGTCTTCTAGGAGGTCACTCAGGGCTGCTGATGTTAAATTTGCCTGCTTCGTCACCCAGCATTCCAGATTGCCTAATTCACTCAATGCTTTTGCTGCCGCAACCCATGGTAAAAACACAGAGACGGCAACTCTTTTGGATTTTGCCCAATGGTAAATTTCTGCATCACAGTGTTCATCAAATTGACTTGCACTTCGCTTAGTAATTTTTTTCTCACCTTTTGCTCGCCCGATTGGAATTTGGGTCATGTTGGGGGAAGCAAGGGTCAGATGCCCGAAAGTGCATGGACCTCCAATAAGACGAGAGGGGATTCCTGGGTATGCTCTGTCCCCACAGATAAGAAACACTCCTTTGTCCAGCTTGCGGGGACGGAAATCAGTGGTGGATGCAAATTTCAGCTTATAGACAGCTGTGCACCATTGACCCGCCCTGAATTCCACCTTGTACTGTTTGACTTGCTCATATAGTTTTACTTCTTTGGTTGGGGAAAAATCAAATTGAATGCAATATTCAGCTTTTGCGGAGCCCAGGAGTTCTAATTCCTGGGGCTCTCCCTCAGCAGAGGGCAAATGTAGGATCCACTTTTGCCACAAAATGAGGGGGTTTTGCACTGGTATTTTAACTTGTTCTACAGCTCCTCGGCGCCTGTAGAACTCTGCCCCCGCCTCAGGTATTTTATTTTCGTTCACCTGCTTTTGCGGGCGGACCAGACCGATTGGGAACTCATCCCCCTTACTTGGAACCCCTACTAAACATGTGGACCTCGGATTTTCTGCTGAGGCAGTAGACAAACACATGTGATCTTGTTTCAAGGCTTGGGCGAGTGTGACCCACACATTTTTCTTGGGCTGTGGAACAATCCACGCGTCCACCGTGTACGGGTAGATGGCCATTTTCTGGAACCAAACGATGAGCAGGAATGTGGAAATTGACATTCTGCTAGTCTGAAAGAAAGATAAAATCATATAACAAGGTAAACTAACTCTGAAAAAGGTACAATTTGCTGTGCCAGTATAAAGGAAAAAGATTCCCCCTGCTCCCACTTTCCCCCTTTGTTAAGGAGGAGGCCCTGCAGACCCCGGAGTCCTTGGGGTTGCTGCTGCTGAAGCAACCACCCTTTCCCGCGGACTTATCACTGAGTCCTCTGTCATTAGTGTGGCTTTTCTCGTGCACTCCTCAATGAGCTGATCGAGTGTGGGTGGAGGCAATGCTGGAAGGGCCAGGATGACTCGTTGACAGGCTTCATTTGCATTTGTGGTGGCAATTTCTAGTGTGAGCTGATCTTGGAGCTCTGGATTTTGCACCCTTTTCTCGACTGAAGCTCTCACTCGATCCACAAAATCCATGAACGGCTCTGCAACAGACTGCTTCAAAGCGGTGTAAGAAATGACAGGTTCTTTAGAAGGCATGTTAAAAAATGCACGTTCTGCCGCATCCCTGGACAGGTCTAACACTGATCTGGGAATGCCTGCTGCTTGCTTCTCAGCTTGGCTCCAATCACCCTCACCCACTAGATGTTCTAAGGTGATTTCCTCATCCTCTATATCTGTGGAATGGGTTGGACTCTGCAAAATCTCTGGAAGGAGGTCTCCTGCAAGCCTTTTCCAAGTTCTTTCCCACAATCTAAATTCAGATTGAGGGAGCAAACAGCTGAAAAGACGTTTCAAATCAGCAGGGACAAAAGTTTTGGAACCTAGAGTAGCTTTTAAAATGCTCTTAAAAAATTCACTCCTTTCTCCAAATTCACGTTTTGTTTTGCAGAGTTCCCTGATACTGTCGTATGAAAGGGGCTCCCATCTAGGGTTTTGTCCTCTCGCATTATAAACAACTGGGGCCATGAACGGAGGATCGGTGTCTCTGGCCGGTTTCTGTTTCCCGGAGCCGACAGTCCCGGAGCTGGCAGCTCCGGCGCTGTTGTTGCCGAGGGAACCAGGAGCGAGAGGGGGGGCGGCTTGTGTGGCAGTGGCCGCAGCTGGCGGGTCCGTGTGGAGCGGGGCAGGGGCAGGGGGTGGTGATGGAGCTGCGAGGGGAGGAGCTGAGGGCTGGACCGTGGGCTGAATCGCCGCAAGGGAGGAGGAGGGATTGGGATTGGGGATGGGCAAAGGGAGGGACACGAGGGCTGGGGGTGTGTTCTGGGCTGGCACGGGGAGCAAGGAATTCTGGGAAGGAGAAGGGAATGTCGCGTGGCCGCCTCCATCTTGTGGTGGCTGCGCGAGGGGGGTGGGGGGTGCAAAGCATGGATTTTGAGCTGCGGGAGTGGAATCATGAGATGGAGAGGGGTCAGGAACTGAATCTACATCTGCGCGGTTAGTTTTTTCAAAGCCGGGGACGCGGGGGGTTACAGGGGACGCGATGTGACGCTTTTCTCTTCCCCGGGCGTCCCGAGTGTCTGCACTCTCTTTCACAAAGTCATAAATGAACAAAAAGATTCTCATAAAACCTTCTTTCACTGAGGGATCTCCTGCCTTTGTCCTTTCACTCAACACTGCACCCACACGCTTCCAAAACTGTCTTTCTTTCACTTCTTGCTCTTTTACCTCCGAAAAACTTACTGTTACCCATCTGACAAACTCTTTCACCAGGCTCTCAGGAAGTTTTGCACCTGCTCTCTGCAGGGGTTCTTGAACTTGTTTATAAATCTCTTTCTGCTGTGTAGTCAGCGTAACACCCATCGCTGGCAGCACAGCAAAATCTCACCCAGCTGCTGCAGCAAAAACCCCAAAGTTCTAAAGACCCGGCGGAGCTCCCGACACGCCTGCGCGCTGGCGTGTCCCCCCTTGGGCACACGGGAGCCTGACTCCAGTCTCCTGGCCGGACCCTCCCCGCCAGTACCGAGACTTACCCACCGCCGTTCTTCAGAAAACACACTGCAGCAACGGTTCCCGACTCCGCAGACAGTCTTCCGGGTGTTAGGAAGGTCCCGTCCGCATCCACGGACACAGCGCCGGACAGAAATCGGCGCCTCTGTCCCCGCGGTGGCAGTCCTGCCAGGCTTGTGTGGAAGGGCGAGTGCCCACACCACCAGCGCGGTCCGAGAGCTTCTCCCCGCGGAGCTGACAGCTTGCGTGGCGGTTTTTTCACACCGCTCGCCGCTCTGTCGCTCGCGGCGACACAGATCGCAAAGTGTCCGGAAAAGCTCCCAACCGGTGAACTGCCCGTGGCGGCTGCGGCGTGTTCGCTCAAACCGGTGCAATGCCTCACGTTGGTGCGCCACTTGCGGCTTTCGGGGGTCACTTGCGGCTGTCCCCCGTCCCTCCCCGGCCCCCCGGGACCCCTCCGGCTAGCTGTCCCCTCAGGGGACCGGGGTTTGCCCCGGTCCCGCTGCACTGGGCTTACCAGGCAGCGGCTGGGTTAGCACGGTCCGAGCGGCGGTGCGCCTTGGTCGCCGCAAGGAGTCGAGATAAAGAGACGAAGAGAGGTCAGTTGTATGCAGTCCAGAAAGATTGTATTGCCTGAACGGTTGCAGGGACAAAAGACCCTGGGCTACTGCCCAGATACAGTTTTATACAGCAAAATTAAGAGATAAGGTCTAAACAATAGAGACAGTGTTCAGCATGGGCTCATCAGAACCACCCCATGGGTCAGGTCCAATGGGAACTGTTCAGGGGTGGGGAGAAGGGGGTTTACATAAAGATGCTGAAGCGAAACTTTCCCGAAACAATGGGGCATACATAAATGTATCTTTTCCTCATACCTAAATGTATCTTTTCCTCAGTTTCCAATTCCCAAGGCCTTTCTAAATCCCTTCCTCCACACTACCACGCCAGCGCGATAGCAACACTTGTCTAAAAAATTATCATTCTCCTGTCATATGTGAACACACCTTCTAAAGACACAGCTTCTTGCCCTGCAAAACTGGTCCCCCAGAGCAGATTGTTAATGGTGCAGGCTATATGGAAAGTTACTCTGAGCTGATCTCTGGATGTCTATTTTGTATTTTCCCAATGGATTTATATGTATCAGTATTGGTTTCCAAAACCAGACTTCTTAACAGTCCTTCTTTAATTCTTAAGTAGGCATTGCAATATCTAAAGGAAACTTTTACAGTACAGCAGAGGAAATGTTCACACTTGAGTCCAGTTAGTATTGCAACAGCACAAAATGCCAGCAAGATAAGCTGCTTAAGGACAGCCAGGATATTTATCTTATATTGATCTTTATATTAGCTCAACAGAGGGCTAACATTTTAATCTATGTTATTTTGCTTAATATTTGCCATTTCATAAATTTCTGAAAAGAATTCAGAATAAAGTTGAAATATTTCCTGGGCTCTGACAATTAATAGGCTATAGAAATCTCTATTAAAAGGCTGGCAGTCATTTTTTTGTAATGGCATTGACTTATCTCCACCTCTAGGCAGAAAAAATGGCAGATAAAAAAAGACCAGATGTATTTTGGAAAATTTGATCTCTGTGAAACTATAACTGATTCTGAAATCCTGAGTACAACCTATTTGTTAATGCGATTCTTTCCACTACAATGTTTTCAGCTACGGCCACAAAAGTAAATGAATTTAAGTATCAATGAAACTATGTTATAAAATGTTCTCTTGAAGGAGAACATGTGACAAAGTAACAGAAAAGGTATTATGAACTTATCTTGCAAACTACTGGAAAGTATAGCAGTTGATCTGCTATGAATATGTCATATGCTTTGAAAGGCAAAAGCTGACCCCCAAAATAAGACAAAGGAGAATACATAACAATAAGAATAGTAAAGACCACTGAAAGGATGTCTGACCTGTTAAGAGCTAACAGGCTGACTGTAATAGAGCTGACACCAAAATAAACATCTACCTGTAATGACTGAGAGCTTTTTTCTCCACAGAACTGGGGAGTGGGAGAAGATCAGAGAACCTGAGATTTTTTGAGACAATTGAGGGAAAACTACTTTTTACCAAAATGTGCAAAGGAAACAGTCTACAGCAGTGATAACTAATGTTTTCAAAGATGACTGGATTCCCTTTTTCATGATAAACTATCCAGATATAAGTTTAGATTTTATATTTTCTCACAAGTTCTGGCATGTGTAGCTTTGTTGATTTATAACATCGTCACTTTTGGTGTCTTCCTCTACATTGGAAATTTATCACAGCAATGTTGATGGACTCAAACTGGGTTGGTTTTTCAGCTGCTGCATCTTGCAGTAAATACATTCAGCTGAGCCATACTCGTTGTCAGTTTTAGCTAGTGCTGTGCACAGTGAACTATAACAGAATATGTTGCCTTAAAACTCATTCCTCAGCATTTCATGCTGTTTCACTGTTGTGTGAGTTAAGAATTAGTACATTTGATTTTCTTGCTACAAATAAGGGGTACAGTGGTGGGTCATGGCAACATCATAAAGTCTGCAACACTGCACAGCACCTTGGTAAAATTCCTCTTTTGAGATGCAGTCAGAGGTCCAGATAGCTTAAGACAAGCTGTGTGGGTTCACACCTGCATTTCAAACTTTCCTTCATTTTTAAACCCTTTTTTTTTTCTTCCACCAGTTCTTGGTATTTAATATCTAACTATGAGAAACTATTTGTGATCTTATTTTTTGTTTTATTTTTTGGTTTTTTTTTAAGGAAAGATAACTTATTATTCCTACCTATTACTCCTGTTAAAATCTATTAATATATTCATGTTTATTTCTGCTGCAGCAGTTGACCACTACAAAGATTTTAGAATCTAATGTTTTATTGATTGTTGCTGATAAATAAGCTAAACCTGAATTCAGCATCATCTGCTGTTATTTGTGTTCACTCAAAAACATTTACAGCTCCAAAATATTTTTATGTTAATTGAATCAGTTAGTATAAAATCATCAGGTATAAACTCACAAAGAGTGTCTCAAAAAAGAAAAAGATTCCCTTTTCTAGCAACAATGCAGCTACATTTTAACAGCCTAATCTGTAACTGTTCTAGGTGCTGTAATTATTATAAACATATATTTTCTCAGCTGTTCAACTTTCTTCTTTTTTAGGTCTACAACTCAAAATTTTTAATTACAGGTCACTCATTATATTTAATTGATTATATTTTCTGTGATTTTTTTTACTATATTTTTTTAAAAGGGATTATTTTTTTCAATTTATTTTCTGATCTCAGCTAATGAAATCCTCCATAACCTGAAGTGTCTTCTTCTGTTTCCTTTTCTTTCCCACTGTATATAAAAAATCTATTCCACTTCCTTTCAATCCTTTCAGTTAGTGATCATAGTAGTAGTGATATTAGTCTCTTTCTATTCTTCTGAGTATCAAGTTTTCTGTATTTTCTGGCTTGGTTGGTTTTGCCCTCTACAAAATTTGTGGTAAAATAATTGAAATGGCTCAACTTTTTATATTTTTTCCCTGTGTTTACATATAATCCAAGAATTACACACTTTTGAAATTATCTCAAGATACAGATCTTGTTTTGTCACCTAAACACTGGACTATTTATTAATTAAAAAGATATTAAACCCATTTCTCTTGGGATCCTAGAAAAATACAAGGTAATATTTTTCTCAAGTCTACCAAGTCATTCTTTAGCATATGGAAGGGGTAAAGGTAAGGAGTAGGAGTATATGGCATTCCTAGTTAGAGTCTACTTTTCTAATTTGCTGATATTTAAACCACATTTTGAAACAACAGGCAGCTCTGCAATTAGATTTCTCATTCTTGCTTTGATAAACAAGAAATTCTGGCCTACTGTCACAATAAAATAACAAAGCACATTACTGGATGAAGAGTCCAACCATAAGAGAAAATTGAAAATTAGAGCTGGCAACAGTACATTAACCAATGAAACTACAGGAGAGTGATCACACATAAAAGCCAATTAATTAAAAACAAATTGCATATAGCATTTAAGTTTTGTTATACATTTTCAATATGGTTCAATGGCTTTCTTACATCAAGTATAAAGTAGCTTTTTATTATCTTATTTATTATAACAACAGACCAAAATTACTTCTTCCTTGTGTAGCACTACTGTACATTGCAAGGTAAGACAAAAGGCAAGATAAATTAAGTAGCTGAATTTTATAATGAAGAAAATCAATTTCTATTGCCTGACAAAGCAAAGCAAATTAAAAGTCAATAGAATGATCCAAAATTTATGCCAGAATAAAGCAGAACCTTGTTTTCGTCTTTTTCTCAAATACCAACGGAAGCATAGGGCATTTCAAGGAGTTTAATGACTAACTGGATTTAATGGCTCTTGACTGCAGTTCATACCTTCAGCTTCTCTCACTAGTTATCAATCCCCAGGAAATTATCTGTGCTTCAGTCATGAATGTTTGTGTAATGAATTTTGAACAGTTTGAGCAGATTTTAAACACAAAAGATGATGTCTTAGCAAAAAGTATTTGAGTCTATAAAACATTTTTCTTCCCTTGGTATATTAGGTTTGCATTGCCAGGTTTTAATAGCAAGGATCTACAGGGGTAGTTCCTGTGAGAAGATGCTGGAAGCCAATCCCAGGTGGCTCTATGATGGATGTGCCACTGACCAAGGCTAGGCCAATCAGAAAGGATGATAATTCTTCTGTGATAACATATTTAAGAAGAAGGGAAAAAAGTTATTGCACATATTTAATTGTGGCCAGAGAAGAGTGAGAATATGTGAGATATATATATAAATAATTCTGCAGACACCAAGGTCAGTGAAGAAAGAGGAGGAGGAGGAGGTGCTCCAGGAGTCAGAGCTGAGATTCCCCTGCAACCATGGTGAAGCCCATGGAGGACCACAGGGATGCAGAGGCCCATGCCAGATCACGTGGATGCTTGAGAGAAGGCTTTAAATAAGTTTTGTGCTGGAGCAGGTTTCGTGGTAGAAATTGTGACCCCATGGGTGGCCCATACCAGAGCAGCCTATCCTTGAAGGACTAAACTCTGTGGAAGAGTGACCCAGGTTGGAGCAGTTTGTGCAGAACTGTTACTTGTGGGATGACCTGACTTTGGAGAAGTTCAGAGAGAACTATCTCCCAAGGTAGTAACCCCATGCTGGAGCAAGGGAATGACTCCTCTCCCTGAGCAGCAGGAGAAACAACCTGTGATGAACTGACTGTAAGACCCATTCCCTGTTTCCTACACTTCTGGGGAAAGAGGTAGAACTGGGAAGGAGGACGAGGTGGGGGGAAGGTGTTCTTAAGGTCTTACTTTGCTTCTGCTTGTTTTGCTCGGCTTTCATTAACAATAAATTCAACTAATATTTCTAATTTTACTCTATTTTGCCCAAGATGGTATTTGATGACTAATCTCTCCTGGTTCTTATCTCAGCTAAGGAACCCTTTTTTATATTTTCTCTCCTCT